TAGAAAACAGACTGTATGTACCAGACAGTTGTGAAGAATGTTATTGGTATATATTGTAGATAATACTTATAAAAAAAGTGTACATTACATCTCCTCCCCATTATTCTAAGCCAGTAGTGGTTGTACAGGAGGATGACATATCTAGTTCATCTGAACTTCCACAAAGAACGTGTTTATAAAACAGAAGTGTGATGGAATGCTCAAATTGGTGCCCTAGTATGCAAACACCTAGGTCAATTTTACACAAACTTTGAATAAATCATACAATTTGCAGAAATCTTTTCCAATTTTTTTAAATATTTTGTCATAAAAAAGTGTACAAATTAGCAAGTACAATACTTCAAATTAGTGGAGGCTGAATTAGTGAGGTTCTACTGTACTTCTTCTGACTACCATAGCTTTAAGATTTATTTACCCAGCTCTGTTTGGAGCATTTTGTCTTCCTGCTCCTCTTCTCCTTCCTCTTCTTCCCCTTTGTGTTGCTGCTGCAGCCTGGGCCAAAGAGCATACTTCTATTTCAGCTGGAAGAAAATAATTGAATTAATTAATTACTAATTAATTACAGTACAGAGTACCCATACTACTGCAATAATAATAATAATAATAATAATAATAATACAGTGATCCCTCGGTTAACGAAATTTCGGTTAACAAATTACCTTCCATAAGATTCTTAACCTCAGTTAACGAGCATTCCCTCGAATAACGAATTCCTTACGAGCGCCCCTCAACATGTTTTCGCTTGCACACTAGCGGTCATATTAGTCCGCCAATATAGTAATCGGTTCCAGGACTTAAATTCCTTACTATTTTAGTAAATATCAAGAAGTTTGTACTATTCAATAATTTTAAAAGTCTTATATTAAATTTTTTAGTCATTTTAACAATTATTTAACATAATTTAAGTACAGGAAACTAGTTTTTTGCATGCCAAACAGCCTGTCAACACACCATACAGGCATCAGTTTCTGTGTCTTTTCGGTGGAGGTAACATCTTGCTACAGACTCTCATCAACATAAACGCTTTTTTCTGTGTTTCCAGTCAAATTATTGGTCGTTTTGAAATATATTTTACATATTTATAATATATAATGCAGTGCAGTGTTGATTTAAAGAAAATAATCTTGAATTACACCAAGTGAACTAAAATTTTATGGGTGAAATGGCAGCATGGGGCGACTTCTCTTCCACCCCAATGCCTTCTCTTCTCCCTACTCCTCCATCCCCATTCTAATTCTCATCATCATCATCATCAACCAGGAGCCTTCTACAAACACACCTCAAAGTAAGTGTACTTTACTGCATTTATTTTTAGTTTGTATGTAATTATCTGTGAGCTGGAACCAATTACCCAAAAACCCAATGAAACAATGGTTTCAGTTAACGAATTTTTCGGTTAACAAGCAACCTTCTGGAACGAATTGTGCTCGTTAACCGAGGGACTATGGTAATAACAACAATAATAATAATAATAGTGAAAACTTTAAGACATAAAAATCTTTGTAATTTATGAATTATAATATTTGTAATTTTATATGGACAACACCATAACAGAAAACACTCATTAACCCTTGGGCTTCGGGCTATTCTAGTCTTACAAACTGGCCATGCCTGATATAAACAGGAAATACATAGATGTCCTTCTCGCAGGTTGGTAACACTAAGGCAAGGAAGAGTCTCTCTCGTGTGTGTGTGTGTGTGTGTGTGTGTGTGTGTGTGTGAGTGTGTGTGTGTGTGTGTGTGTGTGTGTGTGTGTGTGTGTGTGTGTGTGTGTGTGTGTGTGTGTGTGTGTGTGTGTGTGTGTGTGTGTGTGTGTGTGTGTGTGTGTGTGTGTGTGTGAGACAGTAATGAGGTAATCACACTAATTTGTAGGAAGTATGAGATACAGGACACTTGTTTTACTATGTTATTACTATTTAAACTATTAACAATCATTATTACTGCTCCAGTAATTGATCACAATAGTAGATTTGTTCTTCGGGGTTGGGGGGGGGAGGCGTTAGAAATATAGGGTGAAGTAAGTCAAGTCTAAGGGCGAGATGTCTATATCATAAAAGATGAGAAGCTAATGAGAAAAGGCTGGGAGGCTCTCAAGTGTGAGTGAATGAAATAAAAATAGCAACATACTCTAGCCAGGCATGCCCTTTTTATTCAAACAGGCCCGTGAAAGATCAAAATGCCATATTATTTTACCCGAAGCTCTACATACACACGTCATTAGACGTGAACTGAAGCCTAGGGGTTAAAGCTGTACACATACTGTACAGCATAGTCTGCATTTACATGGTTTTTGTTTACGTGTTTGGTCATTTACGCGGTGCCTTGCCAGAACGAAATGTTTTAATTACGCTGTAAATTTGGTCTTTTACGCTGCGAGCGACTGGAGAGGCCCAGACCGCGGCGCCATTTTTTACCCAAGCGGTCCATTCTTGACCACACGCGGGAAGCGGTGCGGTGAGTGGTGCGCATTAGGCCGCTCTTACGTTATCGCTGACGTCATATGACGTATCGGACTGTGATTGGGCCATGCATTCCCTCCGCCGCTAGCTGTGATTGGTCTAATGTAACATGACGTGCCCTGCCACCAGAGGGTAGAAGTCACTGACCTAGCCGGGCCTGTCTCATCGTTCTCAGTTCTCCGCGTACATACAGTTCTCTCTTGTGCCCGCTATTCCCTTCACAATGGCCTCTGCTGGACCCCCACCACCCCAGAAAAACCTTGAACTTGGACCAAGTCACGATAATGTGAAGGAAATCATCGAGTTGGGGGAGAAAATTAAGCTCATCCTTGACAAAGACACAGTCAAGCATCGGTATGAAGTGTCTAATAACCTTCTGTCGAAAGTTATGGAGCCGTATATCCAGATCTATCTCGACAACATCAATGCTAGTCGTCAACGTAGTATCGAAGACTTCCTCTCCCGCAACCCACCACAACCACAGCCAGCCCAAGTCAGTGATAGTGACGATATGGACTTTGAGGGGTTTGTCTGGGAGGCCCTGCAAACCTCTGCGAGTAGTGAAAGTGATTCACCGGAGGGCAACTAATCTGCCCTCTGCCTCGGAACCAGCCACCATCCACGTGTGCCGACCCAGCTTTTCTACTAACGTAAGTGTTAAAAAACCTAATATTATTGATATTTCTCTTAATTATTAATTGTGTGCATACCATCATAAAATTAAGATGTTATTTTTACTACAAAATACGTATTGTGTCGGAAAAAGTGGAGTTTGGGGGTCGGCCCAGTCTCTATTTCAATTAATCCCATGTTCTGTTATTTCATTTACGCGTTTCTCGTTTTACGTGGACCTCCACGGGTTCAATTGACCGCGTAAATGCAGACTATACTGTATAATAATTAAGAAAGATGCTTAACCCTTAGAGCCCGGGGAACATTCCTTTACGCCCATCATAGCAACACCAAGGAGACATTCCTTTACCCCCACCATAGCAACACCAGGGAGACATTCCTTTACGCCCACCATAGCAACACCAGGGAGACATTCCTTTACGCCCACCATAGCAACACCAGGGAGACATTCTTTTACGCCCACCATAGCAACACCAGGGAGACATTCTTCTACGTATTTAATTTTCACGGCATAGTTTGAATCTCCAGGCAGGACGTAGTACTTAGTAAATGATATTTATTTATTTGGCTACTCAACTCGCCCATAATCTTTGTCTCAAGTCTAGTGGTCCAGTTACTCACCACCTCGCTCCTCTGAGTGGCATTGATATAGTATCAGTTTAGGAAACGGACCTCAATGATGTCAAGTTTATTGAGGCAGCCAGCGGGGAAGACAGCGATACATACAATGGGACTCACACCTCCTCCCCATCCCCTCAATGAGGTCGTGGGCACAGTGCACACCAGTTACAACAGTACACTTTGAGTGACTGCACTAATTTTATTCCTGAAATGCCAGTTTTCAACTGTGGCTCAAAAAAAAATAAAATAAAAAATCAACAAAATATGTCTGCATGGGTGTCCACCGGGTCTTACATTACCTGGGACAAAAGGGTTAATCCTAGTCACAGGAATATGCCTAATCTATAGTGTCACAGGCACAATACCTTTTCTCTCAGCAACAATATCTGCTCTCTTCTTCTTCATTTCTTCAGACAGAGTTGGCACAATTTTTTCAATGAAATTATCTACAACTAAAGATCGTGTCTCTGACGTTATGGAAGCACGACAGTTTGGACACTCTTGCTTGTTTTTCTTCCACCGGTCGATGCAATATTTACAGAACGTGTGACTGCAGTTCAACGTTATGGCCTGAAATGTTTAATTTCTTTCACTCAATTGAATACTGAACATATACTTTTTTTCACCTAAATTCATATTCAATCCATTTAAATTCATTACTATTTTCCTTAAGTGTTTCATAAAAAATTTAATTCTAGTTTTACTTACAGTAATGAGGAGTTCATTGCAGATAGAGCACTGAAGCTCATTCTCTAAGACGCCAGAGACAGACTCCACCACTTCCTCCCTCGCATATTTTGTTGCTACAGCTGTTGACTCAAGTTCCTGTTCTAAGGACATATTTTGGGCTTCCAGGGTTTGCAATTCATTTTGTAAGCCACTTAACTGAGAAAGGTATAACAGAATCAACCTTAAGAATATTATTCTTGATCAACTATATACTGTACTTCATCTATGTACTATTTTCCATCAGCCATTAAACTATCTGTTAACCACATACTATGCATCACCCATACACTATCTATCACCTGAAACTATTTAACATTCACATTCTATCAACTAGGAAGTTCAGTGCATTTATGCACAATTTAAGTTTCTACTTTCAACATGGAGGAATGCACAGCCACTATTTTTCTTTAAGGTTCAACTTTTAAGGAATTGTTAAAAATACACATTCATCTATATAACAAAATGTACGACAAGTTCTGGCCGACTTTAAAGAGAGCCCTGTTAACATTACAGTAAGTCCTCGTTTAACGTTGCCCCCAACAACATTGTTTCATTATAACGTCGATAATCTTTAAATACCCATGATTCTGACGTCCCGCAGATTCGGCATAACAACGTCATGGACTATTTTGTACGGCACATCGCCCTCTCTCACCCAGTCAGAGCGGGAGGAGCAGCCACCCTCCGGGTCTCAGTCACTCGCCGCCCTTCTCCTCTCCACTACCCACCCACACATTCGCTAAATCTCCGCCCATCAGTGAGTACAATACAAAATGATTTAGTTTATTTATTGTTTGGATGTAGAATATAAAATATTTTCTATTAAAATTCCGTTGAATTTATGTATATGTAATGTATTTCATGGTTCAAAGGGAAGCTGGGGAACGTAACTCCCGTATTTTATCTATTTCTTATGGGGAAAATTAATTCCGTTAACGCTGTTTCCGCTAACGTCGCGGTTTTCAGGAACAGAACAACGACGTTAAGCGAGGACTTACTGTATTACAATGTGTGTGCAAATTCTAACAAAAATACTTCCTCTTGCCATCTTTCAGAAAAAAGGTCGAATCTCGCTATAATGAACACTCGATGGCTGTAGATTTATCCACTTCTGCTGTTACTGGTGATATATGCATCTGAATAAAGAACCCCCTTTCATTCACAATTTTAACCAAAGCTCTTCATCTATTTCATAACTCTTGGGATTGCATGAAGCTATTTCACTTGGTAATTAAAAACCTATATGCTACCTGGTAGGGGGGGGGGGGTAGGTTAGTTAAGGTAAGCATCAGGTTCGGTTATGATAAGTTAGCATTAAGGTGTTTAATTATCAGATGATAAAGCTACGGTGGCTAATCTTACATGTCCCCGCTCTCACAAGCCTCTTTCTGTTATGATTTATGGCAGCTGGAATCAAGACCAACCATAACATCTCACTCAATTTCTTGTCAGTCATGCTCTCTAACCACCGTATGTGTTCTGCAAGTGTTCCCTTTACAGAGGAACCTCAAGTATCCATCTGGTTTATCCCTGGCACTTGACTGAACTCAGCATAACAAATCATATATCCATAACCTATTCAATGCCATACTTTCTAGTCATCCACTTACATGAGCATTAATAAACTGACCTGATATAATGAACTGATAAATCTACATCACTTACCAATTCAGTACGCAACGACTCTTCCTTCTCTTTCAGCATAGAGCCAAGAAGGAAATTTTTCCGCTCTTTTTCTACATAATGATTTTTAACGCTTTCTAGTTCCTTTGCAAGTCTGAGTCGCTCCTTTGCCAACTCATCTTCCAACCTTTCTTTCTCCTGTTCTGCCTTCTTCTTTTCAACTTCTTTAGCAAGGATTGCAGATTCTTTGGCTTCTAACTGTCAAAATTTATGAAACAATGAATACTTAGGCTTCAAGAAACTACTATACTCTTCAGTGATACCACTGTCAGCCAGAATAATGTGGTTATTATTCTATGTAGTTACACAGCAAAATGTCTTTACTGTTTACTGAACGAGGTCCAGATCAACCACTTTTTGGATTAGTGAATTCCTCAGAAAAAATAAAATAAAATAAAAAAATAAAAAATGGAAATCATAATTAGGAAAAAAATTGTCTCTTGCAATAGCAAGTTTGTGAATACCATGTCTGTCCTTATAATGATCAAACCACCTGAGAGAGAATTAGCTTGCTTCAACAACTTCCACAAGGTCATAAAACTGACTGACTTTCTTTTCAATGAGCACTTCAGAAAGTAGCTTTTCTCAATGTGCTGCTGTATTGACAAACAAACTGACTCTCTGTCTCATTGGCATCAAAACAACATAAGATCTCTAATAGTATAATGCTGGAGATGATATGAAATGCAATGATCACTTTTTGGAAGCCATGGCTAACAACAGGAACACAGGTCTGATAGGTGGTGGTACTAACACGACTTGCTGAATCACAAGAACAAATGGGTTGAAGATAGGATTTCCAGAGACTGACAAATAATATGATTTAAGTCTAAGCTAACATCATCTTAACATAGTGAAAATCATCACAAAAATATACCCTAAAATAGGATATCACTAACAATATTTTTCAGTCTTTCTGTGTACACAAACAGTAATTATTAAAACCAGCAAAAATCATTCGCTACACAAAAATGTGAACATAATACCTGCTGTCGTAATTCTTCTTTGTGATACTCTGTCGCCTCAAGTTGCTCCTGCAGACGATGGCGTTCTTCTTCTAATACACGCTCAAGGTTGGCCTTTTCCTCTTCTAACTGATGGAGCACTTTCTCCTGCAAATTGGGTTTGAAGTATCACTAAATCACAATTATTTTAAATGACTTTCCACTTCAATGGCTTTTATTAAAAAAAATAAAATAAAAATATCGTAAAAGTTTATCTACCAAAGAAATTTCTTTTAAAAACTTAAATAAGCAATCTACCACAGGTCAGAGTTTGTTGACCTTTTCTTGGAGAATGTGATTTCTCTGCTCTTCTTCCAACCTTAATTGATCTTCCAATGTTTTTCGATCTTCATCCAAACGACCTTGAAGCTCCTTCACCTGTTAGGTCACATAACATGTAGTTCCAGTAAACTGTTAGCTACTGATGCACACCTGACATAATGAGATGTACAGTGAAATTTTTTTAACCTGTATCCTTTTATTATCCAATTACCGTATATACCCGTTTATAGCACGAGTTCTTAGGACCAAATTTTTTGGCAAAAAGTTGGGGGTCGACCTCTATACGGGTAATAGTTTCGTTAGGTTGAAAAATATTTACCAGTAACTACCAGTAAACAATGGAAATGACGCACCAACGCACCACCAGCTGTGAGTGTCAGTACAGTTGCCAGGGCAGATCTCTTGCGTCATCATAGCAAGCCCAAAGTAGCCAAATGCATGGTATGGTATGGTATGCACAGGAGTATGTAAAACATAAAGTATTCTTTTTTAAAATTTTATTTATAGATACATAAATTTTTGTTAATTAAATTTGAAACATCAATCTTTGTTAATTAAATTTGAAACAAAAGAAAAATACGATACCTTATTTATAAATATTTTCATTAAAATATTACATCACAAGTATATTTTACCTTAACTGAGCCTGAATGAATATATTCTCAGAAATAAATATGGAAATGTAATATTTCTGCTGAAATGACGTACGTATTACAGTGGAAAGTGGGATAAAATTGTGACGAAAACAATGACTCACTTTCTTTCGTCGTTCAAAAGATTTTACCGTAATCGCTTTTCGAATGGTTTTCAGTTAAAAAACTGTTGTATTAGGGTGTGTCATAGGAGGGAAGATCAGCTAAAACTAATGGCCCATCACTTTTTTAGTAGATTTTAGTGTATATAAACAGAAAATAATTTCAGTTTCAATATTTTGCAACCTTTTGCTAGGTAAATTTTAGCGTGAAATTTATCGAAAATCTAACATACAGCTGCATTAGTGCATTACAATTAAATAGTGAACATTGCTTTCTGACTTCATTCTTTAACAACCCAATTAACAATATTTTCTTCTGTTTCAGATTCTGATGCATTTATAAGTTGATAATATTTGCGATGGCTGCTTGTGTCAGGACGAGGAACCAAAAATCCAGCCATCTCAGTCACTATCTTGGGTCTGGGAGAGAGCTCCTGAAGTCGGAGTTGCCTACATTGAGAGATGCTTTGAGATACGGTGTTTTAATCAGGCAAATCAGTGAAAAGAATCAAAGAACTTACACAGACAAAGACATTGCCAGTGATATGACCAAAGCTGTCTTGGCACAGTACACTCTGGCTAACGCTCAGTTCAAGCCTCCAGTCATAACAAGTCAGAAGAAGATTAGTGAGAGACTGCTAGCCAGTTGGGAAAAGGCAAGAGATATCTCTCTTGGGAGAGGAAAACTTGCAGTTATGACAGCTTTGCTAAGCAACTGGACCAGTTATTTGACATAATTACTTGCAAGTGCCCAATTGTTCTCTGTCCTGAGTTTGATGCGATCGTGACTGTAAATCCGAGGCCCACATCTCCTGTATTTGCAAGCGTGAACTGAAGATTCCTGTGATCGAACTGGCATTTGTCAAAGCACAGAGAGAGAAGACTGGCAGTATAGGGGCTCTCATGATTTCTAGCCAAGATATTCCGGAGTCCAAGAGACAGGAGGCTGCCACAGAGAGACAGAAGAGGAGAAGAGTTGCCGAGGAAAAGAGACTTGAGAAGGCCCAGGGTGAGGTAAAAAGGCCGATGATTGGAGTCAAGCTGATTCAGAGTTTAATGACTTCCCCATGGCTGATCCGAGTGCTGACCAGGAGAATGGTGACTTTGTCCCTAACCCAGAAAATAATGATCCCAAACCTTCCAGGCATAAGATTCGAAATAGGAAAGATATCCCGAGCATAGCTCTGGCCAGCATGCGACACCACACTGGTCTCAGAGAAACTGCAGAGATAGCAACAGCTGCCTGGATTGACGGTGGTTTGATAACACCTGATGATGTTCACCTGGTGATAGATCATAAATAACAAAGTAAGGAGAGCTCAGGAGAAACTTGTCAGTAACCTAGAAGAGGAGTTTGATAAGGGGATAAGAGAAAATGGAATCAATTGTTTGTTCTTGATGGGAGAAGGGATGACACTAAAGTGTTCATGAAAGCTGAGATCTTCTGACAAGTTGTTCCCCAAGCCATGGTGAAGGAGGAACACTACTCCTGCTGCAGTGAACCAGGAGGGAAGTATTTGTGGCATTTCACTCCAGAGAAAGATGACATCAGGAAACCAGCTGAGATAGTGGCAGATAACATTGTGAACTGGCTCAGAGAGAGGAACGTAGACCAGACCCTGCAGGCCATTGGAGGGGACAGCACCAACACGAACACAGGGTGGCAAGGGGGAAGGGGTCATACAGTGGATAGAGCGGAAGATTGGGAGGAAGCTGGTCTGGATTGTTTGTGACCTCCACACCAACGAGTTGCCACTCAGACATCTGATCCAGGAGCTGGATGGCAAGACTTTTTCAAACAACAGATGGTCTGGTCCTCTTGGCAAAATGCTGGACTCTGCCACTGAGTTAGAAATAAATCCGAGCTTTGAAAAAATCACAGTTGGCCCCCCACTCGTTGAGCTTGCACATACTGTCATTGACGACCTGAGTACTGACCAGTACTATGGTTACATGATTTGCAGTGCCATCAAACTGGGGGTCATGCCTGATAGACTTGCTTACCTGCATAGGTCCAGTTCACATTCTGTGGTGGCTCACAACGGCTCTCTGTTCTGCACGGTCAGCCATCGCAAACTGAAAGGGAACCAGCTTCACAACCTGAGACTTGTTGTCCAATTCATCGAGTGTCTACTTGCCAAATTGGTTCAACACCAAGGTCAAGTCATCGCTTCTCCTAAGGTCCTGTGGCATGCTCTCTTCCAGCTTGGAGCTCCTGAGGAGTCACAAGGAAGGTTGTTCAGATTGTGGAGCAGACTGTGAGGAGATCTTCTCCTGGTATGCTCATCCCGAGGCAGTTCTGCAGACAATGCTCTGCAGTAAGGATGAGGAGGAGAGAAGAGTGGCAGTCAAAAAGATCTTGGATATGAGACTTATGAGAGGATCTGGGCATGACGAATCAGTTGGTGACAATTCCTTCAGGGTCAGGAAGACTCCTGAAGTCAATCTAGGTGCCAAGACCCTCACTGATCTCATAGATCTGGATAACATCCAGGCTGGCAGTGAGCCCCCTCTTACCTGCAGCCTCACCAATGTTCAAGTCAGAGCTTTCCTGGACAACCCCATGCATGTCCCTGCCTGGCCCTCGCACACCCAGAGTATAGAGCGTTGTGTACAGCAAGTGAGCGAGGCCAGCAGTCACGTGTACAGCCAGGAGAGGAGGGAAGGCTACATCCGAGCTCAGGTGGTCAGCAGGGAGGTGATGAGTAGAAACAGAAGCAAGAAAGACATGTTCTCTATGGTGTGCAGCAACACCGGGTCGTAGTAGTAAAACCGGTTTTTGTATTTGATGATTTTGTTTTCTAAAGGAATATTAAATTTAATAAATGTGTCAAGATCATTCGTTTCACTATTCTGGATCATTTTCATCCTAATAAATTAACCTGATACATTTACTTTACTTTAAATAAGCTATTTAGTGGTGTTGGTAAAAGGGTGGGAATACTGAATTTTCATAAGATTTCAAGTTAAAATTTACCTAGCAAAAAATGAAAACTTTTCAAATCTGAAGATATCACATGATTCTGCACATAGAACTACATCATTAATACCATGGGCCGATTTTTCAAACTCAAAAAAAAAAAAATTCGCCTCCGTATGACACACCCTAGTGTACCATGCTATTCATACAGTAATTTATATGCTCATTGGCTCCACTTATGCAATTATTTTGTCCTGATTTGTGCTTTTTTGTTTGTTTCAGTTTGCTGATTCATGATATTGCATATCTACACCTGCATGACTTGTAATTACTCTGAAATTAACAAAACATGGAACGTCGCAAGTGTGTGAACGGTGCTGACAGTTTTTGCTACATATGTGGTGCCTTCACTCCTGGTAGCCTCAAGAAACCAATCACAAAAGCTGTTCGACTGAACTACAAAAGTTACTTCAAATGTCATTTGGGTGACCAAGACAAGAAATGGGCACCTCATGTAGCCTGTAAGTCTTGTGTTAACCACCTGAGCGAGTGGATGTGTGGTAAACGAAGTTCAGGAATGCCGTTTGCTGTACCATTGATATGGCGTGAACCTAAAGACCACAGTAGTGACTGCTACTTCTGTCTCACAAATATTAAGGGAATAAAAATCAAGACACGAGGCAAGGTACAGTACCCCAATATTGCTTCTGCAATCCGACCAGTACCGCACAGTGCTGAACTTCCAGTCCCAAATCCACCGACTGAACAAGAAATGAGTGATTCCGATTCTACCTCTACCTCAATGGAAAATGACTACCAGGATGACTCTGAAAATACCAGGCCTAAACTATTTACTCAAGAAGCACTTCATGATCTCATCAGGGACCTAAACTTGTCAAAAGAAAAGGCTGAAGTTTTGGGATCCAGACTAAAGCAGCGTAACCTGCTAGAAGATGGAGAGCATATCACTACAGCGCGTTACCGACATAGACAGCTGTCTGCATTTTTCAAGATGGCAAACAGCCTTTGTTATTGCGAGGACGCAGTATCTCTCATGCAACAACTCTGTAAGTCTGAAACATACAAGACAGAGGATTGGAGGCTGTTTATAGACTCAGGAAAAGACTCTCTGAAAGCTGTTCTTTTACACAATGGCAATCGGCTTCCATCTGTCCCAATAGCTATGAAACAATGAAAATTCTGTTGGCCGCTATAGAGTATGAGAAACACCAGTGGAAGATATGTGGCGATCTCAAAGTCATCAGTTTACTACTGGGCCTTCAGAGTGGCTACACAAAGCACATGTGCTTTTTGTGCTTGTGGAACAGCAGAGCTGATGCAGAGCACTATGTGAGAAAGGATTGGCCGACAAGACCAAGAGATGCGCCTGGAAGGTTTAACTGTGCTCACAATCCGCTTGTAGATCCAGAAAAGCTATTTTTGCCTCCACTGCATCTAAAGCTCGGTTTGGTTAAAAATTTCATCAAAGCTATGGATCAATTCGGTGCTGGGACTCTATACTTATCTCAGAAACTAGGTGGTGTGGTTTCCGAAGCCAAGTTGAAAGCAGGTGTCTTGAATGGACCACAAATTTGTATACTAGTTAATGATAGCGAATTCACCAAAACATTGAACCCACTGGAGAAAAAAGCATGGGAATCATTTGTCAATGTGTCAAAGAATTTTCTTGGAAACTATCGTGCTGACAACTACAAAGAAATCGTAACAACCATGCTTCAGAATTATCATGCATTGGGAGCAAGGATGTCCTTGAAATTGCATTTTTTCCACTCTCATATTGAATTTTTCCCAGGTAACCTTGGAGACGTTAGTGATGAACACGGCGAAAGATTTCATCAACATATCGCCATAATGGAGAGCAGATATCAGGGACAATTCAGTCCTAACATGATGGGCGACTATTGCTGGACACTGCAACGAGAAGAGAGCAAGCTGTACAGGAGAAAGAGTAAAGTTCAGAAGCACTTTTAGAACTTCATATTTTGTCATTATAAAGGATTTGAACTTATGTTTTTTGGTACAATTTTTTATGAGCTTATCTGTGATAGGTTTAAAATTGTATCTTGCATGACGCGATAATGTTACTATATTTACTATTTTTTTTATTCTTTAAGAAAGTAGGTCTGATGGTAGAATGAAACATCCAATTAATATTCATTAATATGAAATTAGTCATGAAAGCACAGTCACATGAGATAATCTCATCTTTTGCACGACACGTGATGGAATATTAAATATTTGTACCTATTGATTTTTTTTATAAAACCTGGTCTGATAGAACAAAACAAATATCAGATTCGAATTCAGCAATATGAAATTAGTTGTGTGAGCATGATCTCATATGTGAACCATTTTGGCTGTTGACCAGTGTAATATACAGTATAACTTTTCAATAAAAAAATTTTCCACATTGATTTTGCAGTTTAAATCATTGCCACTATCGTACAGTACTTCAGTCTCATGCACAGGCTGGTGATACAAACCTACACAGTACTTGTGCAACACATAGAGAAGCACTTCTACCTCCCTTTCCTTCTGTTCTCTATGCACTCCTCATATGCTGATGACGAGATCATCAATGTCACTATTCCTGAAGTTCACACAAGTTATCATCTGAATTTACTCAGCGAATCTACCAATTCTTCAGTTTCACCTTCACTAATTCCCATAACATTTTACTTAATTTTCTATGGTGTCAAGGCTTCACTACTGCAGCGAAGGGTCTTTCCGCACGATGTGTCACTGGAATTGTCAGTTACTTCCTTCACGATGAAAAAAACTCCAGGTAGAGAAAGGGACGTGTGGAGGGACCAACATGAGGAAGTTAATGTTGCTATGAGTTACAATGAATCACTCGAGCAAAACTCTGACGCTAAAATTCAAAATTATGGTGCGGAAAAATACTGATTATATACCGATTACTGTCTATTGATGACCTCCGAATTGGGGTAGAAAAGAACCACATCATATACTGTATAGCCGATCCCGCCATGTAAGAATTAAATGGTAAAGTCAGTCTATATTCACGGTAAAACATAAAAAACTGTTATATAAAACTTATAAGTATAACATAATTAGCATTTCAAATATTCTAAATGTACTGTGATTATTTCATGGGTCATTCATTAATTAACAACAATCATATGAATTTTTAATTTTTTAATCGATATCCTTAACAAGCAGCTCAAGGAGTACAGTACAGGAAAACCTCCGATAACGACGGTTCTATTAACGACGATTCATATTTAAGACCCTGGTTAATTAAGGACCCAATTCAATTTACACCATTACTTTTTTTCGTATTTACGACAAAAATATTATACAAAATAAAGTAAAATTACATTTACATATAAATAATAACTAAATCCCAATATGTATTAGAAAAAAAATCCTTGCGCACGGGGGCTGCCGGGTTTGTGAGGGTGACGCCAGCATAAACAGTAGCAGCTGGCGAGCACTTTGTTTTCAGGCATCTGAACAGGAAAGGGAGAAAACATTCTCAGGTTTCTTACGGCATTTTTTGCGTCCCCATTCAACACGATCAAGAGAGCAAATGACAGTAGTGCTGGTTCAAAGGCTAAAAGAAAGCGTATAAGCTTAGCGGAGAAACTCGGTGTTAAAATTAAATAAAAAAGGTGAGAGGTCTGTGGATATTATATGGAGCAAGCAATGAACATATTTTCTGAAGTGGATCCATTAACAGAATGAAGCATTAATGGGGACATGTAAAAAGCATATGACCTCTACATAAAGATGTATAATGAGAAAAGAAAGCAGCTGTGCAAGGTTCTTTCGACAGCTTTATTATTCGAAGGCCTAAACCATCAAATTCAGCATCATAAGCAGCTTCAGCAACAACTTCCAGTTCAGGAACAGTTTCAGCAACAGCTATGATATCTTTTTGGAAAGCTTCAGCCAGAGTTGAACCTAATGACTTCGTCATCTGAGTAAAAACTCATACATCATCATTGGCTGCCCTTATGTATTATACTTAACAACCATTTGTGAGAAGAAGTTTGGTTTACATTAGTAAGTATTATTTTAAACCTATATGAACAGTAATAAGTGTTGCTTTCATATTCTTATGTAGAGAATTGACAATGTTTTTCACATGTACACATTTATATGCGTTGGCGTTCCCAATCTATTTTGTTATTTCTTTACCATTAATGGTTAGCTACTAATATTGTTCCATTTATTAACATTAAATAACATTACTTAAAACATACATATTATTTTTTTACATTAATTTTACTGCAGCTACAACAAGGGTCTTATTTTCTTCAGTTTCTTGTGTAGAACCATCGTCATGGACTCACGGGTGTAAACACTCACGAAAACAATGCCGTCTCTTATCCTTTTGTGTGTTTTAATATTCTACGTATTATTAATGAATTGCATTGTTCATTTTGCATATATAAACATTAATTTAATCAAATACATATTCAGTAATAAACAATAATGAATCTTTTGTACATATTCTTAAGATAAATGACGCGGTTTCCTTGAGGGAGCAAGTATACATTGCCATTCCACTATCAGTCTCTTCTTTTTCTTTAACATCAGTGGCTACTTTTACTGTACATTAAATAACATTATATACACTAATTTTACAACAGCACAACCAGGGTCTTATTTTCTTCAGTTTCAGATGGATAACTGACATTAAGGGTGTAAACACGACAACAACAATAGCGTCCCATCTCCTTTTGTGTGATATTATTATTGATTTATATTGTATAAGGTGCATTCATAAACAATATTTAAAGAATATAGTTTGCATTTTTCATTAATTGTATTGTTTGGGGGGAAAAGAGGGTAAAAACCCACACAAAAGTTATGAAAAGGTCACACTGGGGAATGCATGTCATTATTATTGCTTTATTTTAATGGTAATTAATGATTCGCGACACGATGATTCTCCTTACACTGCAATATTGGAGACCACATTACAGTCGTTATTCGAGGCTTTACTGTACCTTTATTGGAAATTTGAGAAAAGTCTAAAATTTTACCACGCGCTTAAATGAGAAAGTCAGTCTACAGTATTTCATTGATGACCAAGTGAATTTAGTCATATACTGTATTTGGAAGTGTCATTAAAAATAACCAAATCCCAAACTATTAGCCTGAGACATGAAGTTTATTGTCTTGCAATTAAATGATACTTCAGTTCATTTTGCACTGGTGATACAAAACTCCTGGAACAAGCGTCTGTCAAGGTGATGGATTGGACTTGGGGGCAGACAGTGTACGGTAGCTGTCACGAAGACCTGATCTCACAATTCTTTGACAGCAGTTTTTTGGGGGTTGAGTTGTTCATCATTAAGAAATTAATGTTCCCAGTACTTTATATTTCTAAGATATATATATTATCAATACAAACTAAATAGAGCCTTAAATTATAACATCACATACCGTACCTTTACCTTTCTTTGAAGTGTCTAACATCAAACTATGAAGAAACAATTAAGGAGGTATATAAATATACAGCATAAACTATGTAAATCCTCACAGTACAGAATCTGCTGTGTTTTTGCCGACAATGACAGGTGAAGGCACAGTCTGGTCATCCAGCATGGGTCTACCCTCCCCTGCCCCCCGCCGCCTCTCCTCTTCCTTCAGCTCTTTCTCTGAAGGTAGAAATGCCAATGAACAATATATTATTATCATATAATCATAAAGCAATTTAATTTATTCCTAAAGAAAGCATAATAAATTATAAAAGTTCCTTTATGATGATTTAATTTTTATTTATTCTATTTGACACTGGAGGTTATGTTGATAATGACTTTGAATTTATTTGCAATTATAACACAATTCAAGATGTATATATCTGTATTACAATTGTCATTGATTGTCTTTAAAATGTCTTTAAATTTATATGGAAAAATTATTCAGAGCTCTACTGATGCATAAATAGTTTGGTGTCAGTCCTAAACTATTCATTCCCTTATGCTTGAAGAAAAGTCATAATAAACTTATGGTAACATTTCTTATATTTTGCTTGGCACCAAGTATTTCTGTTAGTGGTTCACATGTGCATCTACAACCTCCATCAATACAGTACAGTAATTGGTGTGAGAACAAAGAGTTTAACTACAGAAAAGTTCTCTAAAGACATATACAGTACATAAAATAAATTTTCCACATACTGGTCATGAACTATAAATATGAGAAATATAAACTTTACCCAAATTATGTACAGTGTAGTACTTTTTTATTCTTATTAAAACACTTAATGAAGGTAAAGGTAAGTCTGCTGAACAACTTACATAGACAGTACAGTAATCAAAACCATCAACCAAATATCCTCCATCCATCAGAAATCTTAATGAATGGTACCAATCCCTTGCATGGAAAACAATACTATACAGTCCTCAAGCAGATAGAAGTCCTGCCATGAAGAAATATTTCTCCAAACATAATTGATAAATAATTGCACTATTAATATAAACTACTATTGATATCACCTTTAGCTAGAACAATTGGTGCAGAGTACTTCTGGGAATGAGAGATTTCCGAGTAATGAGACAACTCTCTCAAAGCAGGGAAAAAATCACCCATCCCCACAATTTTCCGGGTACTGTACCGGGAAAATGTTCTTGGAAGTTCTGGCAATTGCACAATACAGTACATCATCTCCCAAAGCCGGAATAAAATACCCCATCCCCAGAATTTTATGGGTACTGGAAATATTTCTTGTAATTTCTGGAAAATGTGCCTGATTTTCATCTCTCAAACTTGGAAAAAATAATCCCCTATTCCTGGAATTTTCTATGTACTGGGAAAATTTTCTTGGAATTTTCCCAAAAATGTGCACCTCAGAAAATCGTTCCCAAACCCGGATATTTTACGGAAAATTCCGAGAAAATTAAAATTCCGGCTATCAGAGAATTCCGGTTGAGAGAGATTTTGGCTAACGGAGATATTACTATATATTTTAATACTTTTTTAAAGGTAACATTTCAAATTGTTCCCCATTTGGAGTTCTGACCATTAAATATGTTAAAACTATCAGAAGATAATTTAGATTTGTAAAAGAAATACAGTACAAATAAATACATACCTCTTGCTTGTATCTTTTTCTTTAAGTAGAAGAAGTGGAGGAGGGAGTACAGGGCTCCACAAGTGACAGATATACCACCGTAGACCCTGAAGGCTGTAGGCAGATCCAGGTTGGCAATGAGGTGAGCACCTACCAGAGACCCCAGACCTTTCCCTGTAATACTCAACAATGTCACCATCTTCAGTTACAATGTTTATGTAATCAATGACCAGATATGACATGGTAAATAAAATAAAATTACTTAACCAATTTAGTATTTCTCATGGTATGAGAATTAACATAGGTAAGACAGTTTTTTGCTATGAGTGACAGTGAGGCTGATAAACAAGCATTGGTTGTTGGGCAGCCCATTTACTTCTGATGGGTCAATATCAACAGCAAATAAAGTTCATGCGCAAGCCAAGATGTGTAAACAAGAACAATGATATCCCCTTTATGTCAAGAAAAAGGTATTTCATGCAGCATTGATGTCCGCCTTGCTATATGGTTGTGAATCACGGTTAAATGGTAACATTACACCTGTGAATAAACTTTGTATGTGGTGTATTAAACAGTTATTAGGTGTCAGGAAAATGACCAACAATGATTTATGCATGGTGGAACTTGGTTATACTCCGTTATGTGCCCTCATAATAGCTAAGCGGCGTAAATTTTTCTCGAGGAAATGGACGGGAAGAAGTGAAATGGTAGACGATCCACTTGCCCATACTATTAATGTTGTATTAAATTTTAATACGCCCACGTCACGATATGTACGCGATCTTTTATTTAATGATATTGATGATGTTCAAATAGCCTTACACACTCTGAAACAGAAACTGTCAGACTCAAGTAGAGTACAATTATACATGACTATCAAACCAAATTTTGATGTTCATGCAATCTATAATACAAAGATAAAGGTGAACGAGCTAGAACGAGTATTGTGGACACAAATGAGAGTGAGTGCCCATTCCCTCGCAGTAGAAGAGGGGCGCTGGAACAGATGAGGCAGGGGCCGTCTGCCCAGTGAAGAGAGATTGTGTTCATGTGGTGTTATTCAGTCTGAATGGCATGTTGTTGAAGAGTGCCCCCGAACAATAAGATATATGCCATCAATATAGTATTTCAATTTTTGTCAATTTGCAATCTGAAAGAACGGATTATGAAACCGTTTGTCATGCAATTCATCGAATACTTCATGTATATATTTAGAAGTCACAGGCACATACAGTGGGGTATGCTATAATGAACGGATCCTACTACGAATATTCCTATAACGAACGGTTTTACCTATAAAATTGAGAATGCTATAACGAACGAAACTCCTACAACGAACATTAGTTTTTTTATTACAAGTATTAATGATATTGGTTATTTCAGGGGTTTAGATGCATATTTATGCACTTTTTTACAATTTTTACAATTTTATATTATATTTTTCAGTGTTAAGTGGTTGTATTTGGTGGCCTGGAACGGATTAATCCTATAACGAACGAATGCTATAACGAACAAGGTTCTAGAACCAATTAGATTCGTTATAGCATACCCCACTGTACCATTACCCACAACTATTTTGTATGTTTTAGTTTATTTTACTTGTAGTTATTTTTACTTTTACTTTATTCACTCATGGTTTCCCAATGTTTTTTGTGTTACTGGTTGAATCAGTAAACTTTTATGAATGTTTGGTGTTTTAATGCATTTGGACCATTTTATGTAAAACTTTAGTGTAAACTCTGTATTCATAATTTGTGGTCAATAAATTCTATCTCGTATACTTTTTATTCCTCTATTTAAACACTTGAAAATATCTTAATAATAAATATGAGCAATATATTTATAGTGCTCTTCAGTGCTACATTATTGCCTTGCTGCAGGAAGTCAGCAGTGCACACTGAGGATGATGGCTTTGAGTAACTAATTAAATTAGTCCTTGAAGTAAAACAAACAAAATAAATAAGAAAAGATCAAACTTACCTTAAATACAGTGTATACAGGCAGGTCACTAGTACTGTCTTATCCTCCTGAGGTCACACTCAATGACATTGCATAAGATAATTTTATTTAAGTACAACTTATTAAAGCATTAATAAACATTAATGTTCTCAATCTGTATTAGTTATGATACTGTACCACATGGTGTACTGTAATGACTTACCAAGTGAAAAATGTATGGTGCCAATGAGAGCAGTAATGGTGGCGAGGAGACCCTTGGGAGCGAGGATTGGGCAGTAGGTGATGGCCGCCACCCACATCAGCTGATATGTGAACACCTCCAGTAACTCAAAGGGCAGCACCAACCATGGGTCACTAGATCACAGTAACAACATTTAGGGAATCTTGTTGAGTTTGTGTTTACAAGGAAGCTTAAATCACAGCTGCATGGTGTATTCTTATGAGCTCTATGAATATTAATCCTGACTCACTCTCTTAGATGTAACTTTTGACTTACCAGTACTGATGCCGTTTGTGATTATTTCTAGATAAACTGCTATACTATGGAAGGGGTAATTTATAAAAGGAAAAAAAATGTATTGGTAACAGTAAAAAATGGAAGGAAGGAAAGAGAGAGAGAGACATACACAGGGAGACAAGGAGGGAGTATCTGCCATTGTGCACATCCTGACTCATTCTACAAATATAACTACAGTACTGAACACTGATCTAGAAGACAACTGGACAGAACACAACACACAATTGCACTTTATATAAGAAAATCACTGATAAAATACATAGATTAAACCAACTCGACCCAACCTGATTTTGGAAAGGCGTTGTGACTCCATATCTGGCAACATGATGAGTTACACATTATGATCATTATCCAACTGTAAATCAGGTATTTATTGTACTGTTAAAGCCTTCTGAAACATAAATTAGGTTGAATTTTGTTTAGGACAAAAAATATTAACCATCAAATGAAGTCACTGCTATTCCAAAAACTGGCCTGGGTTATTAGACCATTGCTAGAGGTGTTTGTGTGTCCCTTATAGGCTGTGTAAAACAAATGGAAACTCAAGAAAAAGACTGTGATCAGTATCCTTATAACTTTACTCTCCCCTATACTGTACATTATTTCTTTGTGATACCTGTACATGATACTGTAATATTTAAATACAACTTGTGTGCACTACCGTGTGAACTTAGGAGTTAAAGTATCTTAAAAGCAATCTTGAAACCGTATATCCCAGTGCAGTTTTTGGTCTGTCTTTGGCATCCTAAACTGAAGACAGCCAGACCTCTCTTTTTTTTCTTATCTTTGTAAACCTCACACCCAAGTTCATAACAATAGCCCATCTTATTTTGTACAGTTCTACTCTGTATATCCCAGAAAATATCTCACTTTATGTAGGAGTAACCAATGTGTCTGATGGTGTAAGTGAAGAAGGAAATGATGAATATGACTGGACGATGAAGCTTCTCCACCACCCGGTCAGCAACAAACATGACAGGCAGACCCACCAGTGACCCCACTGTCATTGTCAATCCTGTCAACCATAGAAACAAGTTACTTTAATGATCATCATCATCATTAATTTACAGCCATTTTCCTTGCATGCAAGGTGTTACCTTCATGAACACAAAAGGCCCAAGTCTGGATTCTCAATGATTAATAAATAGTGTGTCCCAAATAAGTGGATTTAGGAGCAATATCAAAGCTATTTTCACCAATATCTTTGCGTCACAGCATTGATGAATCGGTTAGATGTGTTCTCACAAGGAAAATATTTTACCAATGAACCTCTCAGAACCTGAACCCTGGGTTGGTATTCTTAAAGGTTCATATATAACATTACTTTCTAGCTGAGAAATGACAACACATCACCCTGGTCTATTGAAGGCATAATACAAATGACAGCAAATACCAGTGATTATAAAAACATAAAAAATTAACTTGATTTTGGAGTCAGTAGGTAGTAGGCAGCTACCAAACAGGGAGGTACTACCGCCTGGGAAGATATTGGAAGCACAATGTGTTGTCTAATGGTAGACCCTGCTGCCATATGGCACCTCAAAAATTGTGACAAAGTCCCAGGTTGCTGGTCTGACTTTCTGCCTCATTTACACACAATTGCAGGGTCTCAATTGTTTCTTTTACTTTGACAACACAACATACATACTGTATGTCATTTCTCACTACTCATATATTTTTATTTTTTTTATCTATTTATGGCTCTTTATTATTACTATTACTGTTGTTATTATTATTATTATTATTATTATTATTATTATTATTATTATTATTATTATTATAATTTATATTAAGTTTTATTAATTTTATTATTATTATTACTGTACATTATTATTATTATAATTTATATTAAGTTTTATTAATTTTATTATTATTATTACTGTACATTATTATTATTATAATTTATATTAAGTTTTATTAATTTCATTATTATTATTATTTTATTATATATTTGCCCACAAGGCCTTGATGTGGGTCACAAAATGACCTGTGCCCGGGTGGGTTAATGCCTGTAAAAAAAAAATAAAAAAAAAAAAATAAATAAATAAATACAAATATATATAATAAAACTAATAATAAAAAAAAATATATATATTACTTGCTCACATAGACACATGCCCATCTATGACTCGTGCACCATGATACTTGCCCATGAGGGAGTTGGAAGCACCGAGGGACCCAAGGTAGATGAACAGGTAACTCTCAATGAAGCCCCAGTTGGACCCCATCAGCAGAATCATCACCAAGTACATGTTGATCTCTGGCCTGATCACCAGCTGCTTCAGGTCCTGGATGAAGTGCTCACTGGCCCGGTCCACCTGGTTAGCAGGTTTTGTAAATACTGTACTGTACAGTGATGTAGTGATACAGGGATATAGTGGTAAAATAATGTACTGATACAGGAATATAGTGGTAAAATAATGTAGGTAGTGTTACAAGAACACAGTGGTAAAATGACTTTCAGAAGCAGTACAGCATTGTATAACATTTAGTACAGTATTTATATCAGTGATTATTAAGAAACTAACATTAGTTTATAAGCATAGAAACTGAAGGTATGGATGTGGGAATCTCTCTCTCCCAGCAAATATAACGTAAGGGTAGTGACTTACAGAGAACTGGAGGCGGGTGATTAGGAGGGCAGACATCAAGCAGAGGCCAGCACCCAAGTAGAAGGCCGGCATTTTGTCCATGTACCCTGTAAAGACATTACTGTACACCTCACATACAAAATCCCACTGGACAATTTCCCAACTCAAAAAAATTAAACCAGACAATTTTCTAGCTGAATAATTCCCAAATTTCAAGTTTCTTTAAGGAATTACACCCTGTTAGGTAAGACTATGGTAGGTTAGGAGAGCTGGGACATTTTCCAAAATCTTCCAGGGCTCCATTTCATAAACACTCATACCACAATGGTTAATTCTAAGCCCCATTTCTCTACTTAACACTAATTCAATGTCGACATGCCTCTTATCATCCTACTTCATCAGTACCATATTTTTTCCCATGTTTGTTGTGGGGTCGGTCATAAAAGCTCTCTACATTAACTAAATATCGGACATTCTTAACATATACAGTAGTGTACATACTTTTTCCAAGACAGTGACAAATGGTACTTTAGATTCATTCAACATGCAGCAAGATCATTATTAATTTTTTTTTTCATTTTCAAAGATTCAATCCAAAAACTGGTATCCTCATTATTCTTCAACCAGGTTTGACCAAGAGGATTGTCATCATTCATATCATGTATGGACGATTTAGCTAACGTGTTTGTCTGTGTCAACCTAATATTGTCCCTACAACTAATTTTGTCAATTCTGATACATTGATCTGGAAGTTGATAGGCATAATCAGTGCCAATCAAACATGAGTTTGTGGCTTTTTGAGATAAGAGGGACAAATGCTATGGTCACTGTTGCTAAAGTCACAAATAAGATTTTTTTTTTTACTATTTTCCTACTTGTTTCTTGCTCGACATCTCAAGAGCTGCCACACAAACCAATTCTTTGCCTTCCTATACATCCAAATTAATCCCATTTATCTTTCCTCCTACATGTGAAAATTTACTCAATTTTATTTAAAACATCATAGAGAAAGAAGCCAGACTTACCTACTTTCTCTTCATGCCAGTCAATCAGTAATCCAGTGAGGGGTGAGATAACCGCCATGCCCACAATGAAGAGGAAGCGTTGTTTACCGTAGTCTCCATTATGTTGCTTGACGATTGCCAGGGTTAAAGCATCCTGGCCAGCAACACAAATTAGCAGAGTGAAGAGAGATCCAGTTTACTTAAAGTTGGTGAGTTTGTGATAATAGGAGGAGCTTTAATTCCTAACTCCGTTATTCAAGAACAAGAGAGTTTCTGTATATGCATCAGTCTGTATCATGCTGGGGTAGACTTTCAAACCGACTTGTACTGAATCTAATGTCTATCTTAAAAGAAATACAAGATGGTGTACTATATTTTAACTTACTACACATTTGGTGAGCTTAAATATGTAGGAAAGGAATGTTAAGGGTAGGCCAAGAGTGACATGAGGAGAGGTCGGAAATGACATTTTGAATTAAGAACCTGACAAGAGAGACTGCGAGAGACCTTGCAACATATAGAGTTGCCATCAGGTAATCACGGTTAACCTGAGTAAGTGTAGTAGATGGCTGTAAAACATTGATGATGATGTTGACTTTGCCCAAAATTTATGGAATTTTTTATTTTATTTTGAAACTTTGTAAATACAGTGGGGTATGTTATAACGAATCTAATTGGTTCTAGAACCTTGTTCATTATAGCATTCGTTCGTTATAGGATTAATCCGTTCCAGGCCCCCAAATACAACCACTTAACACTGAAAAATATAATATAAAATTGTAAAAATTGTAAAAAAGTGCATAAATATGCATCTAAACCCCTGAAATAAAGAATATCATTAATACTTGTAATACAAAAAACAATAAATTAGTAAAAAAAAAAAAAAAAAATCGTTGTAGGAGTTTCGTTCGTTATAGCGTTCTCAATTTTATAGGTAAAACCTTCGTTATAGGAATATTCGTAGTAGAATCCATTCGTTATAGCATACCCCACTGTACCTGTACTGCTAAGGTCAAGTTAATGCCCAGTACAGAATCTTTTTTATGGAAACTTTAATAACTGGGAGTTTTAGTTATCCTAAAGATTATGGTTAGAGACAGGACATTGACTCGTAGTTGACTTATGCTTGAAAACCAAGTACAGCACATGGAATTTGAGTTAATATAGAAAGTCCTCACATACACAATTGTTTCATTAGAGTATGTTTCATCTCCTGAGAAATGATTAGGGTCTCATAAACAAGTTAACTCTGGAGGTTACGATGATAAGCCATTGATGATAATATGTATGTAAGTTAAGTACAGCACTCACCATCATAGTGAACAAGGATGACATGAAAAAGTTAGCAATCATGAGTAGAATAAAGTAGATCCAGAAGGTGCTGTAACTCTGGGAGGGGTCATCAGGGAGGTGGCAAGGTGGCACCCCCTTCACTTGACACTCCACTGGGCACTGTCCAGGGCAGGTGAGGTTGTGGAACATCTCGCTCTCATATTGCAAGTCATGCCATGTGTGTCCACACATGTCCTCATCCATCCAGGAGGTCAAGGTGCCATTTAGAGTTATCTGGAGATAAGTTATCATTGTTAACCTGGACACATTATCACCTGAATCATATACTGGAATGAGATTTCACACTGCTAACTAAGACCTGAAAATAAAAATAATGTTACTAGTACAGTGGTCCCTCGGTTAACGAGCGCCTCGGTTAACGAGATTTCGGTTAACGAGTTACCTTCCATAAGATTCTTAACTTCGGTTAACGAGCAATCCCTCGATTAACGAGTTTCTTACGAGCCGACCTCCACATGTTTTACCATGCATTTGGCGGTCCACAAGCTGTAGTATTAGTCCGCCAATACAGTAATCGGTTCTAGGGCTTAAATTCCTTACCCTTTTAGTAAATATCAAGAAGTTTGTACTATTCCATAATTTTAAAAGTTTAATATTAAATTTTTTAGTCATTTTAACAATTATTGAACATAATTGAAGGTAGGGTCACTAGTTTGTGGCACGCCATCCAGCCTGCCAACACACCATACAGGCGTCAGTCTTTGTGTCTTTTCAGTGGAGGTAACATCTTGCTTGAGACTCTTCAACTAAACGCTTTTTTCTGTGTTTACAAGCAAATTATTGGTCATTTTGAAGTTTATTTTACATATTGACAATATATAATGCAGTGCAGTGTTGATTTAAAGAAAATAATCTTGAATTACACCAAGTGAATTAAAATTTTATGGGTGAAATGGCGCCATGGGGTGACTTCTCTTCCACCCCAATGCCTTCTCTTCTCCCTTCTCCTCCACCACCATTCTAATTCCCATCATCATCTAGGAGCCTTCTACATACACACCTCAAAGTAAGTGTACCTTTCTACCTTTTTTGTTGAATTTAGGCAATTTTCGGTAAGCTGGAACCAATTACCCAAAACCCATTGAAACTGGTTTCGGTTAACGAGTTTTTCGGTTAACGAGCAACCTTCTAGAACGGATTGTGCTCGTTAACCGAGGGACCACTGTACATTGTGTAAACAAAATATACATAAAAATATTAATACTGTAATACAGTACATGTAATACATTACAAGCAAATTCAACAATCTTCCCTATTCAGTCCTTCATAACTGAATGTGTGTGAACACAAGATTCTAGAGCATGGTACCCGGAGAGACTAGAACACCAGCAGTTGCCCAGCTTATACTGTAGTGAGCGAGGGATGACTTAACAGAAGTTTATAAATACCTTAGAGGGCACTACTCAATCGAGAGTTCATACCTGGAGCTGGTGGATGCCTGTCCCACTAGAGGTCACAACTTAAAGTTGAAAAAGCCACAAGTTTAGAAAATTGTCAGGACAAACTTTTAGGAGTGAGAGTTGTGAAATTTATTCAAGCCCACACTTGATCAATTTTGGCATAGGTACAGATACATTCTGGAGCCAGTATATGCCCAGTACTTACCAACAGAGATGTGACCGACTGCCCAAGTGGCTAACAAGCTGATCAGTGCCAAATAGGATAGAGTAAGGCATAGTGGTAACAAGTTTGTATGTGAAGTGCTTTGTGGTTTGAATTACTGTCTGAAATTTTCATTATCTTGGGATTTATCTGAATAAATTACAGAAGTTATTAGCTCTATCAAATGCTTGTTATTTTCTTATGTATTTAAGTACCGGTATTTTCTTATCATGATGTAGGGTGGTCAGACAGAAGCTGAGCCAAAATTTTAGCATTCAGCAATTAGTGGTCACATCACCTCTCTGGCAGGATGCTTGTCAACAGAGAGGTTATTCCATCATCAACCAGTTTACTGCTGTGTGAGCACGGGTCAGTGTACTGTACAAGGAGAGAACCCAGTTTTCTACTCCATTTGGGAGTCGAACTTGGAACTCTTCAATTGTGAGCTAAATATTTTTATTTTATCATTATTGTTATTTCTATAAATAGAAAGAATACATACTGTACAGTACAGGGGGTCCCAGGGTTAGGAACGCGTTCCATTCCTCAGGACTTTCTGAAGTCGGATATGTACGGAAGTCAGAACACATGCTACATGCATACCGTATTAACAGAACAATGTTTAAAATCCCATTATATCATAGCTTATGTCCTTATATACATCTAAAATCACTTAATTTAAGAGAAAAGAAGAAATAGAATGACAAAATACAGAAAATGAAAGTAAAAAATAAGTCATCAGGTAAAGAAATTACTGTAAATGTAAAGTTTAACCTGTTCGTATCAGCGGGCGTTCATAAGTCGGGGACCCCCTAATTAGGAAAACAAAAAAGATACTGATACCTGGTGTTTGAGGTCAAAGGAGGTACAGAGGTCGGAGGAGTTTGTGTCATGGAGGCACATCACAAGATCGGAAGATGGTGACTCACAGTGCAACTCACAATCCTGAGGACACCTATATTATCAACAGTAATGGTGATACAACTATTGTATCTGTAATTAACTGATACAATAATACAGTTTATGTTTATATATGACAATACAGATATAGTATATATGAAGCAAATCAACTGCATGAGCTTTCAATGTCAACACCTGTGTACAAATTCAATTGGCCAACTCAGTACTGTACTGCTGACCTGAAGGGTAACTTGGAGATCAATGTTGTCACTGTCCATGTGGCAGCCATGGCAGAAGGACCAGGAGAGGGTATGTCCCTGAGGCCCACATGACATAGTGAGGGAGTTGGTGGGTCTCTGGGGTATGTAGAGCAGCATCACATGGAACACCACAGTTAGCACCAGACTTACCAACACCACGAGCTTAAAGTTTCCGAACTTGTCAGCCAGTATCCCTAGAATGCACATGTGAGATGCTGTTGTGAATTTAATTGTCTGTATTTTTATCTTTATTGGTCAATCTATCACTTGTAGTTACCTATGTGTCTATCTACCAACATATCTATATACAGTTAACCCTCACTTTACGCGGTCCCGCATTCCGCGTTTCCACGTTAACGCGGTGCCTTGCCAGAACCTCACGTGCTCACATTACGCGGTACGTGAACCCCATTACGCGGAGAGTGTCCGGCGCGACGCTATTTTTAGATTCGCCCCACCCGCCACCCGCCCGCCTGCCTGCCTGCCTCTCCCTCCTCCTCCCTCCGCTTGGGCAAGCGGCGCGGTAAGGTTGCGCAGTGTGTGTCTTTGTTGCGTTATCACTGACGTCATATGACGTATCAGACCTGTGATTGGCCATGCATCCCTACCCCCCTCTGCTGCTAGCTGTAATTGGCTTAAAGTATTATGACGTGTCCACCCGGGGGAGGGAGGGAGGGAGGAAAGACGACGCTTGACCTAGCCGCGGCAGTTTCATCCCTCAAGGCCACTCCGTGTAAACGCGCATCCATTGTTCCGTAAAATGGCTTCCGCCGGACCACCACCCCCAGAGAGAAACCTTTCCTTACCTGGACCCAGCGGCACTAAACCAAAGAAGACACGACGTTCCTTAAGCTACGAGGTGAAGTATACCATCATCCAAGAGTTGGAGAAAGGAACAAGGCAGGTTGATTTGGCGCGCCAGCATGGCGTGAACGAATCTACGATCCGGACTATAAAGAAGGATTCAGCCAAGATAAAGGAGCACATGAAGATCACAAAGTCTACAGGTGCTTCTATGATCAAGTATTTTCACAACCAGGTGCTTCTCAAGACAGAAAAATTACTTCTGAGGTACTTGGTGCGTCAGGCGCGACGGAACATGGCGGTCGACACGCGCTCTGTTAAGGACTACGCACGTGAACTGTACATGGCAGTGGCACGAAAGATGGGAACTTCAGAGCCCAAACCCTTTAATGCTTCCTCTGGGTGATTACAGAGGTTTAAGATCCGGAACAAGATCACCAAAATAAACATTGGTGGTGAAGAAGCGAGTGCTGATCGTGCTGCGGCTCGGGAATTTCCTCCGTTTTTACGTGAGATTATGGAGGAAGGACAGTACAGTGACGACCAGGTGTTTAACATGGACGAATCTGGTCTTTTCTGGAAAAAACTACCTTCCAAGTCCTTCGTTGTGAAGAATGCCAGCAGGATTCGGGGCCGGAAAATGCAGAAGGAACGCATCACCGTCCTGTTTACCACCAATGCCTCCGGTACCTGTAAGCTCAAGTTATCGGTGATCCACACAGCCCGCAAGCCGCACGCCTACAAGAGCATGGACATGACCAAGCTAAATGTCCACTGGCTGACCGCACGTAAGGCATGGATGTTCTCTACACTGTCCCTCTCCTGGTTTGATGACTGTTTTGTTCCCGATGTAAAGAAATTCTGTGAGCGACAGAATGTCCCATTTAATATTTTGTTGCTGCTGGACAACGCACCAGGACACTCGCCCCTACTGTTAGATCGTCACCCCAACGTAAAAGTGGTCTTCCTTCCTCCCAACACTACGTCTTTAATCCAGCCCATGGACCAGGAGTTGATTTGCAATGTGAAAGCTGCATTCTCAACAAAAAAATTCCAGCTCCTGAACGACTACACCAACACCAGGGAAGAGTTGCGTAACCTGAGTGACACCACCACCGATAGCAAGAGCGAAGAAGATGAGGATCAACAGTTGGAACAGCAAAAAATACTCTTCAAACAATTCTGGAGAGTATTTAACATCAAGAAAGCTGTGGACTTCTTGGTGGAGTCATGGGATCAGCTGTCTATTGCTACAATTCGTCACGCATGGAGACATGTGTTGCATGGAATACCAGGTGAGAGGAGGAGTCAATCTGTGACTGGTGAGGTTCAGAATGTTGCAGTAGCAGTGGACCTTGCCAGAGAAGCTGCGCAGACTGTTACAGTTCCAGGCTTCTCCGAGACCACCAACAACGACATCCTGGAGGTGATCAGAGATCCTGAAGTGACTGCCGACGAGATGTTGGAAGAAGAACACGTCAGTGAAGAGGAGGAAGAAGGTGCGTCAGTCTCCGAAGAACACAATTTAAGTCATAGTGATATTAAGGGTGCCATGGAGTGTGCAGAGAAGATGAAGTCCTTCCTTTCCCTCTACAATGACGATGACCGCTATGAAGTCTTCCATACCCGGCTGGTGCAGGCTATGGAGCCGTACATCAAGGTGTATCACGACAACATCAACGCCAGCCGTCAGCAAAGCATAACAGATTTCTTCGCCCGCAACCCACCACAGCCAGCCCAAGCCAGTGATAGTGACAGTGAAGGTGACTTTGAGGGATTTGTCAGGGAAGCCCTGACAACTGTAATTGACAGTGATGGTGATTCATCTAGTAATGGTGATTCACCTGAGGGCCAGTAATCTGCCCTCTGCCTCGGAACCAGCCTCCATCCCCGTATGCCGACCCATCTCTTCTACTACCGTAAGTGTTACACCTAATTTTTAGTTTTGTAACTTTACCTTTATTTTTCCTATGTTAACCTTTATCTTTCCTAACCTAACCTCTTCTATATTACTTGTTTTTTCATACCATCATAAAGTTAAGATAAAATTTTTACTACAACATAGTTGTGTGTCGTCAAAAAGTGGAGTTTGGGGATCGGCCCGGACTCCATTTCAATTAATCCCATATGTTATGTTATTCACTTTACGCATTCCTCACTTTCCACGGTACCCTCCGGGTTACATTAACCGCGTAAAGTGAGGGTTAACTGTACCCACTCACTTTTATATCTAGCTAGCTACATACCAATTTAGCAACCTACTTCATTAACCTTCCTTTGACATATTCAATGAACTACAATGCACACACACAAACACATGCAGTATATATTCTGAATCACAACATAATAAAATCCTTGCACAGTTCACTAATACCTAAATGCAACTAAATGTGTAAGACCTTCTTGAATCAAATCTGCCCTGCTTAACTAGATGTGACGAACATAAGGAAGTCCCTGTACCTGAGATAGGAGGGCCCAGGATAGAAGTGATGGGGAGGAAGGTATAGATGGTACCAATCTCCTTGATTGTGATGCCCAACTGCTGCATGTGAAGTGTCAGATAGGCGAACAATGCATTCGTACCTGAGGGAGAGGAGAGTGCTGTGAGCCAAGCTGCTGTGCCATGAGGACCTATGAAACAGTTATTTAAATTTTAAAGGAAATGAAAATTATAGACCAGTTTTGTCTACATCTATGCAATTCAGTTATCATGCTATTTTTTATTTAACACATGTTACAGTGACAGAGTTGTATCCCACAAACTGTGCATCATTATACAGTACAGTAATCATGAGGCCTCTATATTGTACAGGTAGTAATTAGGATACTCCCATTACCTAATAGGAAATAAAAGTGAATAGACGAAAACCTTTTTGACAATAATTAAAAAATTTAACTCAACAAGGAAAATTTGTCTCTTGTTCAGGTATTTACAAATTAATGAATGGTATGTGTATGAGAGAGGAGTGGGGCAAGGAGAAAACCGTAGATATAATGCTCAATAACTGGTCTTTTATAGTAAATTGCAAATTACTGAACAATGAGAGAGAGAGAGAGAGAGAGAGAGAGAGAGAGAGAGAGAGAGAGAGAGAGAGAGAGAGAGAGAGAGAGAGAGAGAGAGAGAGAGAGAGAGAGAGAGAGAGAGAGAGAGAGAGAGAGAGAGAGAGAGAGAGAGAGAGAGAGAGAGAGAGAGAGAGAGAGAGAGAGAGAGAGAGAGAGAAGAGAGAGAGAGAGAGAGAGAGAGAGAGAGAGAGAGAGAGAGAGAGAGAGAGAGAGAGAGAGAGAGAGAGAGAGAGAGAGAGAGAGAGAGAGAGAGAGAGAGAGAGAGAGAGAGAGAGAGAGAGAGAGATAACTTACCTGCAGAGTATAGGAACTGGATGGCTTTGATGGGTATGAGTTCCTTCTTCCATGTCAGCTCTTTCTTGAGGAAGGCACGCCATCCTCCCTCCTGCCCTTCACAGCCTGTCAGATGAATGGCCAGATAAGAAACTCGACCTAACTCCCCAGATTCTAGAAAGATTGCAAGTTAATTTCAACCCAAACTGAAGATGTGAGAAATCATGGTGTTGGATCACTGAAGTTACTACACACAGACCACACGGACTTCCCCCAAAGATAATAGAACACGTCAAACTTGATGATTTAACCTGCAACACACAAGATATATTTTCCGAATTTAAAAAGTAAGAATACATCAAGCAGTTACCTTCAGTTACGTCTTGATTACTGCTGTCAGTCTGTTAATAATGCCCTGTTATGATTTATTTGTCTTTTCACATCTCTTCTGGGTTCTGGCATCCCTCATGTAATATTGTTATAGTGTTGACTAGGATACGTTATCTTCTACATAAGTGGAACGCCTAACTATATGGGCCGTCATGCAGTAGAGATTGGTGGTGACAAGTGATAACTAGTATGTTTACGGAAAACAAATCATGTCAATACTTCGATACTAACTCCACCATGCAGACCGATTTGAAATAAATTAGATCTATCTGATGCATTCCATGTTCATCTTCATCAGCACTGTGTAGCCCAGAATTCGCCATAAGGCAACATTCTGCAGCCTTAAAACTTGCTTTACCAAAGTCGTCAGAGTCCTCCCCGCTTATCGTCAGCAAGGGCATCACCCCCTCTATGATATTGCAAATACTTAAAGGCACTCTAATTCGGACAAATTACCTCCAGTTACGAAGGAAGTCAATGTCTGAATCTCTTGTAGTGGATTTCTCCCCTACAAACGCCGTTTGTCGCCGAGTAGCCGACCCCACGAATTCTCCAGTGTATGCCTCGTGGTCTAGGTCAACCAGCGCCGCCTTACATGGCGGAGGTCAACTACTAAGCCACGCCTACCTCCGCTATTTAAGACCTGACCTAGGTGGTGGCCACTCTCTCTTCTTCTAGCTACAGCCGCAGCAAGCTACTCCACCTCCTCCACTCCTGCCTGGCGGTCCTCACTCCCGCCGGCGAGCATGGCGATCCACAAGCTGTCCTCCTCTGAGTATCCTCACCAACCAGCTCTCTCTACATCACGCTTGTAACCACGCTGCCACTTCCCAGCACCAAGCTGCATTGTACATCCAATACAACATGTATACAGAGAGCACATTGTGAGTTTCCTTTCTCCATCCCATCCTGAGTGAAAACCCAAACAACCTGTTCCCCACAAATGGTGACCCCTGGAGATTCGCACTCACACAGGATGGAGGAAAACCGATCACTCTCCCAGTCTTCAAGCAACATGGAAGACTGGCTTATCCACCCAGAAGCAGCTCTCATCGGCTCTACAGCTACTGTCTCAACACCGCAGGTTAGACACCCTAGAGCAGCACTGCTTCTCTAAGCAGACACCAGCTCCTCTTCCTGCCCCAAGCACCATGTCCTACCGACCCCAGCACACCCGTCCTGCCTCAGACGCCGCCCCCGGCCCAGCAGTACCCCCTGCCGCTCCTCCTGATGCAGCCCCTGCTCCCGACGCGGCCCATGCGCCTGAGTGCGGACCCACACACCCCTCTTTTCTCCCTCAGGTACTCCCTGCTACTGTCCTGCACCCTGCTGCTGTCGTGGACCCAGCTGCTGTCACGAGCCCTCATCCGCTTCTGCTGACGCAGCCCCTGCTCCTGACCCAGGCCCACACACCCCAGCAGGCGCATCTGACGACTCTGTACCTGCCGTGAGGGAAGCACAACATTCATCGCCTCCACACACCCTTTTCTCCCTCTCTACTCCCACAGATATTGTGTATCTAGACAGTTGTCTCCTCTAGCGGCCGGCTCATCCACGCCATCGCCGTTATGGCTCACATGTGGCATGCACCGCCCGTTCTGCCTCACATGTGCCATGCAACCCTGCAGACAACAAGTCTCCTACACCGCCTGGAGGGAAGGAGGGAGTATTGTAGTGGATTTCTCCCCTACAAACGCTGTTTGTCGCTGAGTAGCCGACCCCGCGAATTCCCCAGTGTATGCCTCGTGGTCTAGGTCAACCAGCGCCGCCTTACATGACGGAGGTCAACTACTAAGCCACGCCTACCTCCGCTATTTAAGACCTGACCTCGTGGTGACCACTCTCTCTTCTTCTAGCTACAGCCGCAGCAAGCTACACCACCTCCTCCGCCGCTGCCTGGCGGCCCTCGCTCCCGTCGGCGAGCATGGCGACCCACAAGCTGTCCTCCTCTGAGCATCCTCACCAACCAGCTCTCTCTACATCACGCTTGTAACCACGCTGCCACTTCCCAGCACCAAGCTGCATTGTACATCCAATACAACATGTATACAGAGAGCACATTGTGAGTTTCCTTTCTCCATCCCATCCGGAATGAGAGCCCAAACAACCTGTTCCCCACACTCTTAATAATAATAATAATAATAATAATAATAATAATAATAATAATAATAATAATAATAATAATAATAATAATTAACGGTATATTGAAAAAATTCTGCAGCCCGAAGGCTGAAAATATACATTGGACATAAATGACTTATTACATACCCTGATCATGTGTCACGAAACTAGGTCTAATCATTCTTTTAAAAATTTCCTTATATTCACGACTACTATATTATAATACACTTAAGGTGACATGATATCATTATGTACAACTATTTCTCGTGGCATTGTAAAAACACCTTTGACCATGAGACATGTGACTGCCTTCCCAGGACGTAATTGTTATTAGTAAGAACGAGTTGCTATAGTTGGTCAGAGGCACGCACGAGTATCACAAGACTGGGCTGCCGCCTAAATAATATTCTGTTGCACGACCTGTCCAGCGTCTCTGAGGGACGTCCAATTCCCACCACCAGCTAATTCTGACTAGTCTTGGATAAAATCTCACTAAAGAACCCAACCTAAACTGACGTAACCAAACGTAACCTAATCTGAGGAAATGCAATACCTGCACTGAACAGTACGTATAACGAAAATTACTATTACACACACACAACCCAAATTATACATTTATTTAATCATAAACGAAGAAGCTCATGAGACATGAAATTAAGTTTGATAAGAGTAAATCACGAATATATTTCACTCCGTATAAAAAACAGGGATAAATTGGGAACGGGGTTTCAGACTACCAGAAAGCAGTGAGGGCAAACTTTTTCAGTGAGAATTGTGAACTCTGGAACAATCGGCCAGTGTGTTGTGACGGCACCGAGTGTGGGCTCTTTCAAGGCCAGACTTGACCAACACTGGCTGGAGCAGGTTCCGATACATTCAGGAGCCAGTGCATGCTCAGTACTTCTTAACATTGCGTAACAGAGACGCGTCCGACCGCCCAAGCGGCTAACGAGCCTATCAGTGGCGAAGAGGGTAAAAGTAAAGTAAAAACAACAAGAGTTACCTTTACCTTTATCCTCTTCACCACTGATCGGCTCGTTAGCCGCTTGGGCGATCGGTCACGTCTCTGTTAAGTACTGTTGGCAAGTACTGGGCATGCACCGACTCCTGAATGTACCTTTCAAGACCAACACTCCAGTGTTGGTCTTGAAAGAACTCACACTCGATGCCGTCACAACACTTTCTGGTAGATTGTTCCAAGAGTTCACAACTCTCACTCCAAAAAGGTTTGCCCTCAGTTTTCTGGACTTACGGCTTCTTCAATCTTGAGCTAATGACCCCTTGTGGGGCGAGCGTCCGCCAGTTCCAAGTAAGGACACTCGACTGAGTAGTGCCCCTTGAGATGCTTATACACCTCAATTAGGTCGCCCCTTGCCCGTCTGTAGTATAAGCTACGCAAGTTCAGGCGCTCCAATCTCTCAGGGTAGTGGAGGTGCCGAAGTGCAGGCACCAGTCTGGTGGCCCTCCTTTGAACATTTTCAACCAACTGACAGTCCCTAGCATATCTCGGGGACCAGACGGGGTGACAATACTCCAGATGGGGAAGCACTTCACTCTTGAAGATCGTTACGAAGGGCAGACAGTCTAGATATCTGAACAACCTTCTTATAGGACCAATAATTTATTTGCCTGATTTACCTTGTTAATACAGGTAATCAAGTTTTAAGCAGTGCGATGTGACTTATGTACCGAATCTTGAGTTCGGTTAGTGGATCTTGGCTGAAATAATCTAGAATTTAATAAAGATCATCGTAAAAGCCAGCGAGAATATCGAACAAACCACGGATGACTAAAACTTCTCGGTGCCACTATAGCGTGCGGTTTACTGGAACATTTACACTATAGCGTACGGTCTACCTGGGATATCTACACTGCAGGCTGCAATTTAGTATTGTTATATAGTATTATTTATTACATAGTTGAGTTTTATGATAAACAAAATAGTAATAAATAATCTTTTAATGCTCATCATATAAACAAAACATATAAAGATGTTGAATTACATAACATTAATGACAAACTTCGTATCATATTCTTTGTAAATGATAAACCTAACCTAACCCCTTTTATAAGGTTGGTTAGGGTCCTGGCGTTCAGGTAGTGAGGTCAGGTCCGTAGACTACGATATTGCGGTAGACCGCACGCTATAGTAACACCAACTTCTCAGTGAAAATGGGAATTCATTGGAAAACCCACAGGCAAACTTCTGGGACTGTGATTATTGCCAAGTGATGTTTCTGAAAGTTGAGACACCCAATTAGGTGTTCCTAAAATGTATTTTCATTATGGGAGAGAAGAAGATTATCTTAATATACCTGTAAGGTAAATAATATAGATATGTTAATTTATAGCTGTTTTCTCAAGTGTCTGATGGTGAGGGTAAACAATTAAGTAGTGTTACGTCAGTTTCTATACTTTACACTTCACTTTATCCACTTCAGATCGTTACAAATATAAGACTACCATCCTACATAAATGGGAGATTATCACAAGATTATTCCTTAATATTTCCCGATCATCGCTTAGTTGGCGGGTCACGTGCCACACACCGCCACACACCCCAACGAACTGACGCAATATTGAGTTATACAATTCAATTCTGGTATTTAATAATT